CCATGGTTTCGTGTTAACACCACGACGAACGAAATAACCGACAGCGAAACCAAGTGAGCTACAGAACTGCAGCTAAGGAAGTCCGAAAACAAGGACTATTAATTTTGGCTCCGTGCATCTGTGCATCCGTGTGTCCGTCCAGAGCCATTTCTCACACACCCTTTGACCGATCTCGTTCAAACTTGGTATACAGACAATGTATGATGACCTACATATGCATGTCATTTTTCGTTATGATTTGATTTGATTAAATATGGCTGACTGGCAGCCATTTTGTCCCTCAAATTTGCTAAATTCTGATATTTAAACGTGTTCGTAACTATTTCTCGGAGCTGAACAGATCGATTTCAATCAAACTTTGTATGGTGATCATGCATATTGGGTTATAGATGCACGTCAATTTTTTTTCGGAGATTCAATCCAAGATGGCCGACTGGCGGCCATTTTGTTTTCATGCCGATTCCTCTGAAAGATATGGCTTGATTCACTTGAAAGTTTGTACATAGGTAGTGTACTGCAAGGTAACACAACAACATGTTTTGTCTTGAGATTTGATCAAATTGGTTGAAATGGTGGCCATTTTGTCAAAAAAAACGTAAAATATCATTCTGTAACATGTCCGTAACTGTTTCTTGGAGCTGAACAGGACAATATGGCCTGATTCAGTTCAAAGTTGAATAGGGCATTTTCAATCAAACTTTGTATGATGACCTTACGTATTAGGTTACGGTGCAAGACATGTTTCTTTTGGAGATACTTTTGAAGATACAATACCCGACTGGCTGCGTTTGTCTTTCATGCTATTTCCTCTGTAAGATATAGTCCAATTCAGTTCAAAGTTTCCACGTAGGTACTAGACAGTAACACAATCTATAATCTGTGTTAGTGTTAAAAAAACATTGATCTTTCATTTCTACATGTACTGAACATTTAAATCGACTACAGCTAATACTTAACAGGGACTATGCATTATCAATGCTTGTTTTACACATGAATTGAGCAGATTTTAAGATGGTGCCAGGCACGACTCATGTGTCATGACTGCTAAAACTATGTTCAGTTTATTGCCAGAATATGATTGCCATACCATTGAAAAATATTTCAGAAGATTATGTTATCAAGAATGAGCTGTCTCGCTATTATAAAATGCATAATTTGCGAAACTACAAACAAAATAAAGCCACCCAACAATGCACTATTTTCAAACTCTTAGGATGCACTCATTTCTTCCGTACTTTCTCTTATGCTAATACATGTTATCGCTTGTTTAGCAACTGGCCTTTGACAACTCTTGCTGCGCTTGCTATAATTGATCAAACAAGTCAATGAAATTTAACGAGGCTGACCTCTTAGCTAACTAAAATAGTTACTGCTATTTTGTTGAAATGAACTCTGCTTTCCATACATGTATGCAAGCTTAATATGTGCTCACCATTCTATTTTGTTGAAATGAACTCTGCTTTCCATACATGTATGCAAGCTTAATATGTGCTCACCATTCTATTTTGTTGCATTGTTTGTATATGACACGTAGAACCTTGGAAATTTTACATTGACTATATTTGTCTTTTCTGTAAAATGCCACTATAGAAAATATTGGTGCACCCAAAATTTCACACCTGAATAAAATCAGCTTTAGAACTCCCTGGGTGGTGTTGACTTCAACATTTCACTCAAGAAACATTTATTTCATTTAAAAATCTGCCCTTGAAAATTATAAGTTTTTCATTTACAAACATTTCAAGAGTCCCCACTGACATGTCTAATCATAGGAAATGTCAATCACAAATTATCGTAAGATATCAATGACCCCTTTTATATTTTACTTGCTAGTAAATGCCCTCCACAGAAGTAGCTTTCAGTTTTTCCATCAATCACGATATAGTACTCAATATTTGTCCATTCTCTGTAAAATTATGACACTAATAATTGCATTATGAGTATAGTCTGTTCCAACAATAATATTTCAGTCCCTGTTGTATCCGTGTGTGTGTAAATTTGACACCATTTCTCAAACTTGTCTATTTTGCTCAATGTTGGTACAGAGACAGGACGTATAATATTGAATATATGTTTTAAAAGCAATTTGATACAATATAGGTGACTGACAGCATTTTTGTTTTAATTGTTGTATATTAAATGATTAATTGCATAATAAACTAAATTTTGCATGTTTGTTGTTTATATTCAAGTAGCTCTCCAATTGGATTAAAACTAAAAACAGTCTAAAATTTCTATGTAAAATATATCATGGAATAATATATTGAATATTGAATAATATAAGATATATATGTTGCAAAATTTGACATCCCTCGATGTATGTTTCACGATTTATAAATATTATATTCTGCTCACCAATGTTTTGCCAAGTATACCACTCTTATGATTCAAACAGATTGTACTGGCTAGTTTGTTTTCAACAATACAATAACTTTTTACTTATAAAATAAGTGTTTTAAAAGAATGCTTATGGATTGTTAAATTTCCTCAGTCAGTATTGCTTCAAATTTGTTTCAGACACGCATTGTCCAATTTGTTTCAAATTTGCTGGTCGAACATGCTGTATGTTCCTTTTTTCAATTAAAAATAGCTTTTTGTTTTGATCATATTGTTCCCTTTTTGATCAAATGGCTGAATACAAAATGACGATTAATCATAATAACAGTGCTTTACCAAACTTTTTTTTGACCATACTGATTGAATTGATTGATTGATAAATGTTTCTCAGATTTTATATGATGGTTGAGCATGCAGGTTACTGATGCATGTCATGGTGGACTGGTGGCCATCCAAAGACCTGTTTACTTTACAGATGAAACCATGTTATTTATCTAATTTTCATAAATTAAACAATTTTAAAATATAATGATATCTCAATTCCCACAGATTTAAATTGAACTTGGTATGTGTATCTATTGGTACATACTTCTTCAAAAATAAACCACACAATGCAAACCAACTGTACAATAAGTTTTTTTTATTATAAACTTCAATACTGTAGGTCAGATTGCTTTCACATTGTTCATCTCAAAGATCAGATGAGCTTTATTAGCCAATAGGTGTTTTTAAAGGCTAATCTTGAATTTATAGTTGATTGATATAAATATTCTCTTTTTGTACTTCATAATGCCTTCAATACCCTCAACACACAGTAGTTTGATTTTGTTTTAGTGACTTAATTTCATCGCTTTTTTGGCAATTATCATCCCAAAAGTGTAGGCCCAGTGGTAGAAAATAAGCATAGGTGGGGATACCAGAACCATGTGTTTGTGTTGCTTGAATATATTATTTATATTAATTAATCATTTAAGCATTGTGTGTGATTCAGCTGATTTGTGTTTGCATTACCGGGTACAGTCCTCCAAAACCTCTAAGAACAGTGTCCTTATCAGGAACAAAAGCTGTAGTGACTCCTTTGGCTGTACACCATGCATCAGAACCATTTCCACATACTTCAACTACTTGTCAACTCTCACAATTTCATGTTCCGAGTATGATTTCTGCACAACATGATGAAGCACCAGAAGCTGCAGTACCTGTTGCAGGTATGTATAAATAACTTAATAAAAGCATAGGAGTGATTTCTACACAATGTGCAAAGTTTTTAGCTTTTCTGGGTGAAATTTTGTCCTATCCATTGCCTTAAATGAAAAAGTACATATATAAATTCTATATTCAAATTGCAAACCATTCCTAATGGAAGCTAACTATTACTGTGCTTCATTTTGTACTTTTAATCGTGTTGATTAGAAAAACATGTGGTAATAACTTATGAGCCGAATATCTCACAAATACATGTACCAAAAGTTGCTGACACATCTTTGCGTCTGTACATCCTAGCTTTTAGTATATATTTGCACTTATACTAGTTATGTCACAGACTTGCATTGTTTCTTATGTGGCCCGGGTGACGAAATATGAAAAATGCAATTTATTCATCATAAATATATACTTTTTACATAAATTTGTTTGTCTGTGAGCTTCCTTTATTCATGTGTAATATCAGAGATATTATTTTCAAAAAAGTGTAGGTACACCATTGTGCAAAAGAAATATGTTATTGTGCATGTTATGTAAATATGTTATTGTGCATGTTATGTTTAAGTAGAATACTGTAAACTGCCTAATTTTAGCTGCTAAGAATTTTTGCGATTGGATGATTTTATGGCATTCATGAGATAGAAGCCGCGGTTTCTAATACTGATTTTACAGTACCAGAAAATTTTATTACAGGTGTTTCTAGTTTGGCCTATGAGGGCGCTATTGTTGACCAATGTATAAAAAATGTGCTGAGCCTTCCAGAAGAGGTTGGGGAGGTTGCCTTGAAACACAAGTGTTTGACAGCTGAGATAAATAAACAACAATCACTTCTGAATAAAGCAAAGGTAAAAAATACTATTATATCTAATTGCAGTCACTGTATATCTGTAAATACATTTTATGTTTTCAAGTTGAAAATTTATTGTATATAAAAGTGAAACAATAAATTTCATTGTAAGAAAAAAAAACAGTGAATTTATTAATAAGAAAAAAATTGCTAACCGTATATAATTAAATTAACTTTTTCTTTACTTTCTCCATATTTTTTATTTCTATGCTGTCCTATCATATGCAGGAAGTATTATTAGCATGTAAGTATATCCATTTTTTTTCTCACTATGATAATACACACATACACATGGCAAGAAATAACTTGAATTACAAAGCAATTTACAATACAGTGATGGTCATGCCTACTGAGGATAACTCATGAAAGTTGCATATAGCAACTTATTTCCAGTGGGGTTCTCAAAAGCCACATACTCTAAATTCGCTAATTTAGGCTTCATTTTTCAACATTTCAATATTTTGTAGTCACTGACTGTTGTCACTAATCAACAGTACAATGTTTATTGTGACAATACTGTGAGTGAGTATATACGTGAAAAGTGTTAAATTGTTCTTCAGTGCTCAGTTTTATCTTTCGAAAATTACTAATTTTGAAATAAGCCATGCCGTTTTTCATGACATCTATTGCATTTTTTTTTTGTATGTTATTATAATTTTTACTGAGTAATAATCAACAATTGCAACACCTTGAATCAAGTAAGTTATTCCCTTGTGAAACACTTCATGACTGATTATGCTACCGTGATTCAAGCAATGGATTTGTGCTTGCTTTATTAAAAATTTAAACCAATGCATACCGGTAATACATTAGAATCACTGAGTATTTTTTGTTATCATTTGGAAATACCAACATTTTTTTGACTAATTTTTCAACAAAATTAGAGAATTTATGGTACTTTAAAACAGCTAACAAATATATTATTCATACACATATGCTGTAACACATTACAAATTACATTACACAATAATGTAAAATTAATTAAAAAATGAAATATTTGCAGTTCATGACGTCTATTTTAGAACAAATTTAGAGAATTTATGGTACTTTAAAACAGCCAGCAAATATATTATACATACACATGCTGTTACACGTTACACAATAAGGTACAATTAATTAAAAAATTAAATATTTCTATTTATGGATTATTTAAAATTGTTCATAATATCATATATTAATTTTATCTTTTTTATAATTTTTTATTATAGCTTTTGTAAAATGGGATTTGTCAAATACATTTTTTAAATGTGTAGATAGTTTGTTCCATTTAGATATGGCATTACATAAGAATGGCCTGCATTCTTCCTAATTTTTGATATACAAAAAATAGTAGCACTACCCCTTGTGTTATATGCATGAATATTGAATTTATTGAAAACCATTTGAAATGTTTTTGACTCCTGTGTAGTTCACACACAATAGGGGTCGTTGCGGTTACTACATTGTCTGAGTGTATGTGCCTGTTCTCCTGATATCTCAAGAACCAATTATCAAATTTCAATAAAACCTGGTACATATATGCTCTGGGATAATGCTCAGACATGATTGTTTTTTGGTGACATTTATTCATATTAAGTAACTAATTTGCATATTAATTAGCCAATTTTAAGCCTTCTAGTTTTTTTATCAAAAACTCACAGATTTCAGTGAAACTTAATGCATAAATGGTCTGGAATAATGTGCAAACCTGATTAGTTCGTGGGATACTGACAAGTAGGCGTGAGTGGTGCCCTCGTCGGCTGAACGGCATCAGACCAATTTGTAAAGTTCACGCCCTCTTGCAATGAGTTTCAATGGATATTCATTTTGGTGGTTATGGTAACACCGTCAATCAAAGCTGCAATTTGATTGGTACTGACAAAAGCACTGGGGAAGTAAAATACTACAACGTTCTTTCAGGCGTGTGTTGGGTTTGGAGCACCTCAGAGGGCACAACTTACGCGACCTTGTCAGGCTAGTATAATGGTTGCAATATTTATAAGTGTTCAGATGACCTCGTTAATATGCAATTATTAAGTGCAATCTCAAACACTAGACATACAACTGGTGCTATAATGGAGGCATTAGACAAAAGATATAAATAACATATCAGATTACCATATATGATTGTGTGAACTAATTACTATGCATAACTGTAATGTATTAAGCACTACCAGTGCTAGAATGTATAGTATGAGATATGACTAATAAATGGTGCATATGCCACACACCAGCCCTAACGTGCACATGCACATACTTATAACTCACAATAAATTCATCAACTAGTAGGACAATGTAAGTCATTTATTTAAAATAAAATATAGAAAAGTATAAGTCTGATAGGTTGATTGTAGTATAATTTCAAAATAAATTTAAAAATATGGTATTTGAATGAGAAATAAGTCTTGATTGTTAAGACAAAATTAGACTTGACAACTAAATGCACAATTAATACTTTGATGCTAAATTTTTAAATATAGAGCCCAATGTACATACTTTGTCACCATTGGCTACAGGTCTTGTAAACAATCATGATGGTTTATTTTGTGAAAGGTGACTTTAAAATTGAAAAGGGTTAATAAGAATCTATACGAGAGACCTGAGGTTGAGACAACTCAGCTGTCTCATCTATAATTCATTTACAGAATTTAGAATTTGATTTCATTATCTGAAATTCTGAAGGGATTTAAGGATCATCCTAAATATCAGAGAAATGTGGATAGCAGTTTTCAATTATTACAAATTATATAATATATGGTTATCAGGAGAATACTGCAAAGTATTCACAAAGGCATGACTGTAATCGTATTGACAGACGTGTAGCAAATGTGTCAGTGATATAGTTTACCCTACATAAGGGAAATCTGTATTCGAATAAGTGCTGATATGTTTTTAGTACTCTTTCGGACACAGTCCGAAAACGGGGACTTTGACTTTTGTGTGTCCATGCATCTGTGCTTCCATGTGTCCGTGCGTGTGTGCGTGCATATTAGACATGCCTGGACCAATCACAATCAAACTTCACACATACACCATACATAATATTATACATATGCTCATCAATTTGTTTCATGTTCTGATTCAAGATTGGTGGCCATTTTTGTGCTAAAAAATCATCAAAAATTAAGCATTTCTGGCATTCCAGAACTGGATATTGGTGTTTATGAATGGATTTTGTTCAAACTTGTTACATATGTTGGACATTATGGGACCTTGATGCACATCATTTTATTTTTCAGATCCAAATTAAAATGGCCGACTGGCAGTTATTTTGTTTTAATAAATGCAGTTCTAGTGCCATATCTCTGCCATGCTTTGACTGATTATGATCAAATATTATATATTCATTATACATCATGATTTAAATATATTGGTTTGACTATCTTATTCAAAATGGCCAAATGGAAGCCATTTTAGTGCTAAAAATCATCAAAAATCAAGCATTTCTGGCATTCCAGAACTTGATCTTGGCATTTATGGATGGATTTTTTTCAAACTTGGTATATACATTAGAGATGGGTTCCTGATACACGTCATTTTATTTTTCAGATCGGATTGAAAATGGCTGACTGATGGCTATTTTGTTTAAATGAATGCTCTTGCTGAGCAATATTTCTCAATATGGACAAGTACATGTTTGACGATCAGATACAAGATGTCAATCATTTTAATGATAAAAAATCATCATAATCAAGCATCATCTTCAGAAGTCATGACATGTTTATGTTCCAACTATATTACTATAAACAAAACTATACATCTTAGATTTGATAACTAACGGGGACTGTGCCATGCATGACTTGTTGAAATGAGTGCTGATATGGCTTTTTACAAAATGGCAACTTCTATTGTTTTGTTGCTAGATATATAATAATCACTTGTATTTTTGCTTCTGTAAACTAGCATGCAGTAGATAGTGAACAAAGTTAAGTTTCTCAGAATCATATTGTGCACTATGCAAATAGTTTTTAGTCCCCGTTCGGATGTAGACCGAAAACGGGGACTTATGTTTTGCCCTGTGTGCGTCCGTGCGTCCATGCATCTGTGCGTCCGTGATCACCTGTATTTCGAACATGCATGGACCGATTAAGTTCAAACTTCACTCATACATCACACATTATATGGGACATATGCACATGCATTTTTTTCATGATCCAATTAACGATAGCCGAATAGCGG